TACTGTTGAACATGAAGAAAACAAAAATAGTGACCAGAGAACTTACGCACATTCAAACTAGACAATGAGGAAATAGAAATAGTAAAAGAGTTCTCATATCTGGGATCAAACATTGATCGGAATAGGGACTGCAGCCAGGAAATCAGGAGAAGATTAAAAATGGGGAAAGTGGCTATGAAAGAACTAGAAAAGATCCTAAAATGCAAAGACATACAACTCAGCACAAAAGTCAGAATCATACATGACTGCCAGAAATAATGCAGCTTGGGTCCACTTTAACTGTCTTAGCTCAGTGCTAGGGAATCATGGGAACTACAGTTTATTGTGGCACCAGAGCTCTCTGACAGAGAAGGCTCAATGTCTCAGAAAAAACTACAATTCCCATGATTCCCTAGCACTGAGCCAGGACAGTTAAAGTGGACCCAAGCTGCATTATTTCTGGCAATCTGTAAAGGCCCTAATCTAGAAACTTTCCAAAATGAGCAGAATTGGCTGGAGTCCTGGACTTTCTACTGCCTACTACCTGTCTCTATGCTGAACCTATGCTGGAAGAAACTACGAACACCTTTAAGTAAGGAATAGGGAGTTGCTGGATTGCAACTCCCATCATAGTCAGTACAGGTCAGACAATGATGATGGATGATAGGGCATGTTCCCCACTCAATTTAACAAATAATTTTTCCTCTCTGAGAAACTTGTACTCTATTAGATGTACTCTATTAATCGCCATGGGCCCTAAGGCAGATGGGTGCTGCAATCCAACAACTTCCAAAGAGCCACGCATTTCCCATTTCTGTCTTAAACAGAGAGAGAGCTGTCAAATGTAGAATTCACAACTATAAGATGCAGTAATGACCTCAGATTTGGATAGCTTTAATAGGGGATGAGACACATTAATGGAAGGTAGTGCTAACCATGGCTAGCACTCATACGTCACAGCTGTGGATAAAGACATTCTCCATGAACTTGTACACTATTCTCCATGATCTGAGATAAAATGCATCCAAAACAGAAGGTGGAAGTGATTGAGTCACTTTTTGGACTAAAATTCCCAGAATCGCCAACAGGCATGGCTACTAGCTGGCAGGATTCTGGGAGCTGTAACCCCATAAACAGGGTACTATAGTTCAAAAACTCTGTTTTGAATACCAACAGCTACAGCTACAGACAACTACCATTGTCCTTGCAACCCACTTGCAGGCTTCCTATATGCGCCAGGATGGTGCACTAGAAAGCCTTTGATCTGGACCAGCAAGTGTTCTAGTTGTTGTGCAACTAGAACACTTATGTCAAAATGCCAGATATTGCTGGCAGTGAAAACCAACTCAGCTGCAGCAACAAATTACTGCTGCAGAGCAGATCCTTGTTTCTCCAAAGATTCTGTCAAGAAGGCAAAACAAGAAAAAAAATCCAACTGTGCAATCTCAGGATGCTGTCTGGTGTCTCACCTCCTGTTCCATCTCCCCGGGTAAAGTCTCCACCTTGGATCATGAAATCCTTGATCACACGGTGAAATTTGCTCCCCTTATATCCGAACCCTTTCTGAAAATGAAAAGGATGAAGAGAGAGATTATGGGAACCACATAAACACAATCTGTATGATACCTGTCTATGGGTGTAAGTCTTATCCTGCCCAAGCCAAGGTCCAAGAGCATCAAAGCACAACCCTCCCCAACTGAAGGAAAAGGTGAGGAGAGTTTAGTGGAGAAGGGAATGGAAATGCTAGAATGGGTGAGGAAACCAGATCTTATCAGATATTTTGGCCTGCAACCCCACTAAGTACACCAATAGTAAAGAATAGGGAGAATTGCAGCACAGACATTTGATGGGCCAAAGAAGTCTCATCTCTCTTTGTTGATTTCCTGAAGTGTAAAGATATATCATTAAATATTAAAGTTAGTATCATCCATGCCATTGTATTTTCCATTTTTGTATATGGTTGTGAAAGCTGGACAGTGAAGAACACTGATAGGAAGAAAATAAATTCATTTGAACTGTGGTGCTGGAGAATACTATGGATATGATGGACTACTACTAAAAAGACAAAGAAATGGGTCCTAGAGCCAATCAAGCCTGAACTCTCCCTAGAAGCCAAGATGACTAAAACTGAGACTGCTGTACTTTGGCCGTTATCAAAAGACATGACTCACTAGAAAAGACAATAATGCTTGGTAAGGTAGAAGGCAGTAGGAAAAAAGAAGACCACATTCAAGATGACAGTGATGTAGACTTGAGTCAATTAATTCGGACTTAAGTCAGACTCAAGTCACTTCAATGACTTGACTTGGCAAAAATGACCCATTGACTTGAGATTGGTATCTTTTTAGTGATTGACTTGCTGGTGCCATTCATTTTGAGCAGTAGGCAAAACCTACCCCAAAGTGTGGGGCACACTTCTTGGAAGGGAACAGCAAATACATCAGGTGATGGGCTTGAGGCAAAAAGATCCTTCTAAAGCTTTTGAAAAGCTCTAGAAGGCTCCTCTGATACGCAGCAGGGACAGCCTGCCAAGCAGACTTCAACCCCCACCTCAAGCCCATTGCCTCACTAAAGCACTTGCTGTTCCCTCCGAGAAATGCACCCCACCCTTTTTTTCTGTTAAAAGCTGGCTCCCAGACTTGAAAGTATCTTACAAGGACTTGAGACTCAACTTGAGACCTTAAGATAGAGACTTATTTTATTTATTTATTTGAGACTTGGACTAAAAGACTTGAGCACATTACTGCCCGATGGATAGACTCAATCAATGAAGCCATAGTACAGAGTCTGCAAGCCCTGAGTAGTGTGACTGATAAGAGGGAAAATTGATGACAGCAGTTAACAGCAAAAACAGCAAACCTCCCTTGTTATTCCAGCTACCAAAGGCACCAGTGATCCATCCTGCATCATAGTACCTTATCCACTGGTAAGAGGTACCTTCTCCAATGCAAGAAAGTTGGTGGACAGTCATATGTAAAACAAAACAAGTTTCAAAAATGTCTTTTCTGGATCCCCAACTCCCAGAATCCTGTAGTCAGCATGGCCACTGGAGGATTCTAGGAGTTGAAATCCCTTTTCCAACATCAAGTATTTTCCCCCCCAAATACTGTAAAAGTGATGGGCTTGAGGCGAAAAGATCTTTCTAAAGCAGATGAAAGTAGGAAGAGAATTAATTCATTTGAGATGTGCTGCTGGAGAAGAGTGTTGAGGATACCGTCGACGACCAAAAGGGCAAACAATTGGATCCTAGAACAAATCACAAGCCTGAACTCTCCCTGGAAGCTGACTTAAGGGCTGTACAGACTACCAGAAATAATCCAGTTTGAGGCCACTTTAACTGTCCTGGCTCAGTGCTAAGGAATCATGGGAATTGTTTTGTCTGAGGCATTGAGCCTTCTCTGTCAGAGAGCTCTGGTGCCACAATAAACTACAGTTCCCATGATTCCCTAGCACTGAGCCAGGACAGTTAAAGTGGTCTCAAGCTGGATTATTTCTGGCTGGCTGTATAGGCCCTAAATTGAGGCTGTTGTACTTCAGCCACATCATGAGAAGACCCAACTCATTAGAAAAGACAATGATGCTAGGGAAGGTAGAAGGCAGTAGAAAGAGAAAAAGACTGCATGCCAGATGGATCGACTCAATTAGGGAGACTACAGGACTTGAGCAGAGCAGTGGAGGATAGAGAGACGTCTCATTCACAGGATCGCCATGAGTCAATGTCAACTCAAAGGCAGCTAACAAGAACAGCACTGAAATGGGAAAAAGTGTACAAATGCTAACACTTCATCTTTTCCTTGCACACTGAAGAAAGAAGCAGGAAAGTGCAAGTGCACAGACACACACATCAGAACTGATGACGAGTAAACCCAGCTTCCAAACTGGCTAAAGTTTACCTGTAAGTAAGAATAAAAAATAAGGGTACAGGGCTTTGATGTTTCTGCATTGGTAAACCCAAGCATCTCCCTACTTGAGAAGAATCTGGTAGTTTTTCCCAAGGGAGGCACCAGGAAAAGGCTGCCAGCTTCTTTCTTTTCCAGTGTCTGCAAACATCCCCCTTCTTTCCTATTCCTGCAAGCAATCAGAACTGTGCAGACTTAGTTACAGCTTACCTCTCCTGTAGATAAGGCAACAAAATTCTCAACTGTTTTTGGAACTGTCTTTCCAAAGAGGCCGATGACAACTCGCCCCACATCTTCGTCTCCAATCCGCAGATCAAAATAAACCTAAAGGAGACCACAAAGGCATCACAGATTTGAGTACATAGCATGACCAGAACCTGGAAACTCTGATTGGACTACAGCTCCTAGAAATCCCAGCCTGTGTTGGGGGGATGCTTGCTGGACCTTATAGACTCTTCCCTCCACATTTGCAGCTTTGACTATTCATGGATTTTATTAATGTTATCTCTAGGAATATATCTAGGTCCTCCAGTGCAATTCTATGGTCAACTTTAACCAAAAGTCACATTGAAGGCCCTAGAGATTCCTTCAGAGAACACTCCACTAGGCATCTGTAGGTCCTTCAGCACAATTCTATGGTCAATGTCCTGCAGATGTTGACCACAGAGTTGCACTAGAGGACCTAGAGATTCCTAGAGGTGTTCTCTCAGGTAAAAAGTGTTTTTGTTATCTGTGGTTTTTCCATATTCACGGGGGTCCTGTGCCCCTAACCCATGAATGTGGAGGGATGAGCATATTCCAAAAGTAATTCCTCTCAGCTCTTAACAGATGTTATTTGCTGTTCTCAGATAGACAGTGACTATATGAGTGTAGAAAGATTGAAGATTTATGTCATTTTTCTCCTGAAATCTTATTTGTATTTAGATTTAAGAACTCAGTATCTTGAACTTCTTATTGTTCATGTTAGAGATGCTTTGTTGTTGTGTGCCTTCAAGTCATTTGTGATGTGACCCTAAGGGTTTTCATAGGATTTTCTTGGCATGTTTCTTCAGAGGGAGTTTGCTATTGCCATCCTCTGAGGCTGAGAGTGTGACTTGCTCAAGGTCACCCATTGGGTTTTCCTGTCCAAGCCGGGATTTGAACCCTGGTCTCCCAGTGTCCTAGACCAACATTCAAACCATTACACCACAATGGCCCTTTTTTAAAGAGATGCTATCCCCTCAAAAACAAAACAAAACATCAAAACGCCCACCACCGTGACATGTTTATTAGCAGGAACTGACTATTATGAACTGACAGCAAAATTTATCAAGTTAGTCCTGATAAAGAAACATTTAACCTATCCGGAGCCAAAATATAATCTCAGATCTATTTTATGTGTTTTTATTACCAATTATCTTAACTATGTTTAAACATGATATGGTTGTTTTTTAATTGCTGCAAGCAAATGCCTTGTTGGCTAATGCAGAATAAACTGAAGCTTGATCTTATTTGCTGTTCCATATGCTGATCTGTATTAGCCTGAATCCTATCAGGAAGGCTTGGGCAAGTTACAGCGATTGCAGCAAAATGTATTCTTAAGCAACCAGGCAGAGGTTTGCAAGCCATAAAAATGTTTGCTCTTATGAGAGAAGTGATTTTATAGCTCTGTTTTAATGAGAACTGTTAGCTACCCTGAGCTCCAGTGATATAAATCAAATAAATGAATACAAATACATAAAACCTGTATAGTTAATTTTACTGAGATTTCTGCGCAGTGTATCCTGTTAGCAGTAATACCTTAAATCTTGAAAAATAGTAAATGGATTCATTGACTGAAAGAACCATAATTTAAATCTGCAAGGTGAAAATGTTGGACCGGGAAGAAGAGGAGGCCTCATCCATACTGCATAAATAATCTGGTTTGGCACAGCTTTAACTGCCCTGGCTCAATGCTCTGGAATTCTGGGAATGGTAATTTGTTGTAGGCACAGAGCAGAGCCATGTCAAACCAGATTATTCATGCAGTGTGGATGCAGCCGAAGAAAACAAAGGAGAGAGGAGAAAGAGAAGACTTCGTACCTATTTTGGTTTGAAGAAAAGAAGAACCAAACCTGGAGGCAATACAGTAAACAGCAGCTCTCTCTGTGTGTGTTTGTGTTTAATTTTTTTAGATCATTTATAGACCACTATATTTTTGAAAGACAACTTCAGGGTCCATTATAATTAACATTCTAATGAAAACATCCAACATAAAAATGTAATATATTTATATCTTAAATCCTTAGAAGGCCTGGGGAATTTTTTAAAGGAGAAAAGGAATTCAAGGAGCTGCCCTAAGTGGAGAATCTTTATTATGGTCATAGACCAGCACAGTACAGAATACAAGAAGGTAAAAATACAATTTAAAAACTATTTAAAGTGTCCTTTCAAATCCCCTGAGTGGATATTTGTCCAATTAATCCAAAACTGTCTACTGTGACTAATAGTACAGCTGCTATCAGCAAGGCCAAAAGCAAACTTATTACCTGATCCCCCTTTTAACCAGAAATTCCAGGGATCGATTCTAGGCCTTTCTGAATGCAAAGCATGTGCTCCGACACTAAACTGCGGCTACTCCATGAAAAGGGCTGATACAAAGCAAAGCAGCAATAGTATCACCAAGATGAATCCCAGCTTGAAAAGTCTCCTGTAGTTCTCATGGCAGAGAGTGAGGGCCTTTACAGACTGCCAGACATAGTGCAGATTGAGGCCACTTTAACTGTCCTGGCTCATTGCTAAGGAATCATGGGAACTGTAGTTTATTGTGGCACCAGAGCTCTCTGGCAGAGAAGGCTCAATGTCCCAGGAAAAAAATACAATTCCCATGATTCCCTAGCACTGAGCCAGAACAGTTAAAGTGGACTCAATTTGCACTATTTCTGGCAGTCTGTAAAGACCCAAAGTGTGTGTCTATGTGGTGTCAAGCTGCCTTTTACAGCAGGAATCAGAACTGTGTGTCCCTCCAAATGCTGTTGGACTGCAATGTCCATAATTTCTCAGCTAACAGGCTGATTGCTAGAGATGATAGGAATTGCAGGCCAATAAAATCTGGAGGGCCACAGATATTCCTGCTTTGGAGCTGTAGCAGAAGGTCTCTGCTTGACAGAATACATTGGCTTTGCGGGCCAAAAAGGAAAAGGAGGCAAAAGGAATCTGGCAGCAACTTTAAGACTAACTGGTCCATCAAGCTAGTAGTAATCTTGAAAATAATAAATCTCTTTACCCAAAATCCATTCCCTTTAAGTTCTTTTAAGGAGAACGCCCTTGTTACATGTGCAATATCTGTGACTATGTATTTAGCATGCTAGAAAATCATTATCTCTGTTCATACCTCTGCTGATGAAATCCTCCCTGAAGAAGTTACTGACTTCAAGGGAATTGACTGTAGGTAAGCAAATTTATTACTGGACAGACCTGTATCTTCCTCTGTAACCTTCTAAAAGTTTATAGGCAGGGTCACAATCTGCATCTTTCTGTGCCGCAGTATTAACTCCATCAGTGCATCTAATGAAGTAGACTAAAATCCATGAAAGCTCACATTAAAACAATCCAGTTAGTTTTAAAGGTGCTGCCGGCTTCCACTTTCTTTCCACTGCCCTTTCATGCTGCAACAGACTAACATGGCTATCACTTTGAAAACAGTCCTCAAAGTGTGTGATTCCTGCGATATTTTTGTGCAAAGATGTCCCGAGTTCAGTTCACAGATAATCCTATACTCTCAGTAGCAAAAAATCAAGTGGGGTGGTGTGGGAGCCATTTTTAAGGGGAGCACATGCTATGCAAACAGAAAATCCTACAGAAAAGTCCTCACATCTGTAGTTTTAAAAGAGTAACAGGAATCCTGAAAGGGCTAAGGAGAGTGTATCACACAACATCCCCCGTCCCTTTCCTACCAGAATTTGATGAAGGGAACAAACCACATAGTTCACAGATGAAAAATACAACCCTGCATGTTTTATTCGTCTCTAATTTGTTCCCTGGCATTATTAGCAGCAAAAATAAAGAGTCTTGGGGCAACTTAAAGACTATGGTATCAAAATGCACACTAATCTCTGAGATACAGGACTCTTTGTGCCTTTCGCGAATACTAACCAAAGCATGGAAATATTGTGAAGTCAAAGGCTTTCACGGCCAGCATCCATAGGTTTTTGTGTTGTTTTTTTCAGGCTGTGAGGCTGTGTTCTAGAAGAATTTATTCTTGATGTTTTGCCTGCATCTGTGGCTGGCATCTTCAGAATCTCAAAAACTCATGGAAATGTTACTTTTTTGGCAATTAATGTCCATGCTGGTTGGAGACTTGCCTGTGTGTTTCCAAGTTCTGCAAACAAACACTGAACCCTTCTATGGAAAATATCAAAAGTAGTCAAACTGGACAAGATGAACCAATGGTCTGACTCAGCATAAACAGCCAAGGGAGCAGGAATCACCCACACCATCTCTGTCCTGCTTTCTACCCAGAGCTACCATCTTCCATCTCCCTACAGTCATCTGCAAAAAATATACTGTGACTGATCATGAGAGAGATGTCATCTAACATGATGGCCCTAGCCTTATCTGTGAAAAATGCTGTAATAAATAAAACAAAATAATAATGATGGGATAAAGCAAGTTCTTTGAGATCTCATTTCAGAAGAGCTCCAGAAGTTAAAAGCTGTCCTTTCCATTAACAGTTATCAGGGAGTAAGCATTAATAGGACTCCCCTAAAAGTGATGATGCCATCACTTAAGCCCATGGACAAGGGGATGGGGAAACTGCTCCTCCATCAGCCACTACTCCCAAGTAACCAGGCTGGAAGGGGATGATAGGAAATTATGCCCAACAATGCCTGGGAGTGGGGGAGACGCATTCCCCAATCCTTCATTTTATGCCACAATAAAGCTTTTGATCTTTTCCAGGGCCACAAGGTGGACTTTTGCTGCAACTGTTCCAGTGGAAGTCCTCAGCAGTAACCAACATCCCCACATTCTTGGCCAGAAGGGTCCTTCATGTCCATGTAGCATTAATGTGTGTCTGTGGGTGTGGAAAGTGTGATCTTCCCTATTATCTTTCTCCAAGATGGAGGATGTACAGAGAGCAATTCCTCTCCAGGGGTATCATTAGAGGGGTGCGGGCCACACCGTAAGGTCACACCTCTGCTCCCCAAAGATCTGTCTTTTGGTAGAAACAGGCTGTGGTGTTCACCTAAGTCCATTTAAAACACTGCAGCTCAGTGGAAGAGATGATGTGAATGGGGTGAGGCTCAGTGGGAGAAGAAAAGAACGGCCTCAGGTTTTACATTTTTTACAAAATTATTTAAATCTGAATTTTAAATTTTCTTTTTAAAAAATCACAACTTACCAAATTTTCACTATGAGCACATGAAATGATGTATATGTTCGTATATTTAGGCTGTGGGTATGCTATTGTAATTTAAAGGTATAATTTTAATTTTGCTAGTGGTTTTTATCTCACAATTATTGCCATTACATTCAGTGACATACAGAAATTACAATTTACTCCATGCATCTGAGGAAGTAGGCTCAAGTCTACAAAAGCTCCTACTACCAGCTTCTTCCTTTTAGGGCCTTTGCAGACTGCCAGAAATAGTGCAAATTGAGTCCACTTTAAGGGTTAGGGTTAAGGAATCATGGGAACTGTAGTTTATTGTGGCACCAGAACTCTCTGACAGAGAAGGCTCAATGTCTCAGGGAAAAAACAATTCCCATGACTTCCTAGCACTAACCCTAACCCTAAAAGTGGACTCAATTTGCACTATTTCTGGCAGTCTGCAAGTCTCATTAGTTAGCCTCAAAGGTGCTACAAGATCCCTTTACAGACTGATTTCCCAGACTAACAGGGCTATGTTTTTTATTAGTACAAAAAACATTAAGGATTCTGTATGGAGTGATATGGGAGGAGGTCAATGGGGGGGGGTGAGTTACTGTGCCAGGTGTTACCAAGCTTAGTGACGCCACTGCTCCATTCATCCTCAGGTAGTTACGTGCAACACTGGACGGGGATGCTAGGGATTATAGTCTAACACCTCTGATATGATGGCCCTGTTTAACTATTTGAAGGTGTGTCATATTGAGGATGGAGCAGGGTTGTTTTCTGCAGCTCCAGAGCATAGGACCAGTAGCAATGGATTCAAACTAGAGGAAAAGAGATTCTAGCTCAACATTAGGAAGAACTTCCTGACAGCAAGAGCTGTTCGACAGTGGAACACACTCCCTTGGAGAGCGGGGGAGTCTCTTTCTTTGGAGGTTGGCCGGAGGCTGGATGGCCATATGTTTGGGCTGCTTTGATTGTATATTCCTGCATGGCAGGGGGCTGGACTAGATGCCCTTGGGGTCTCTCCCAACTCTATGATTCTACTTACTTGAGGGGACCCTCCTGGTTGGAGAAGGCGATTGAATAACATACCCACTCACACTGCAAATACCTTTTAGCATTGCTAAAGGAATTCAAATTTTTATCTCCTGGAGTCTGGAATGCTTGGTTCCTGGTGGAACAATGTTTTCTTCCTATGTCCAGAAGGAGGGACCCGCTTGTACAGATATCCCTCCAAAGAACAACACCAACACCTTGAAAAAATGCAAACCTGTGACTAACATCGCCATTTTATCATGTACATTTTTTATCTTGTATGATTTTTAACACCTTTGCCTGACAAAGAAGCCAGTGGAGCTTCAAAAGCTTGCCTTGTATATTTTGTGCCGTTTGGCTGGCTAATTAAAGGTATCCCTGTTTTGTGGATTTTGGACGTTACAGTACTTATACTGCAGTGAGACTCAAGGAACTCAACAGGGCTGGCTTCCAACCGGTGGCCCATTGTCTTCTCTTTCTCAGACACACATCGACACCCGGCCAATTTGCAGCTGCTGGGTTCTGCCTTGAAGTGCTTGCCGACATTTTGTGGAAGCACTGGGGTCCCCTATGTCTGAAGGCAGGGTTTATTCCTAGCTTCTACAAAGGAAAGCCGGTCCCAATCCTGCTTATTGGGGGGAAAATGAAGCTGCTGTTGCTGCTGCAGAAGAAGAAAGGGATGCTGCGCCTGCACCACAAGGAAGACCCCTCAGCCTTTCAAAAGACCAGTTTCATCTCCTGATGATTTTTTTTTTAATTTTGAATTTTAAATGATGAATTTTAGATGTGGTTTTAATATGTGTACATCTTATTTCACAGAATAGATCATATTTCTCCTTTTAAACTGATGTGTGTTCTAACTTGTTGCCCCGCCTCGATCCATGAGAAGATGCATATAAGAAATATAATACTGTATTATTAATAACAACAACATTTAAATCCATGCAGCCAGCCTGGTGGAATGATTTCCGTGTCAGACTACAACTCTGAAGACTAGGGTTCAAATCCCAGCTGGGCCATGGAAACCCACTGGGTGACCCTGGGTGAATCACACTCTCTCAGCCTCAGATCTGAAGCCCAATAGCAGAAATTCAAGACATGGTAAAGACAGTACATCTTTGTTGTTGCTGTTGTTATGTGCCTTCAAGTCATTTCTGATTTATGGAGACCCTAGGGTGAAACTATCATGGGGTTTTCTTGGCAAGTTTCTTCAGAGGGGGATTTGCCATGGTCATCTTCTGGGGCTGAGAGAGTGTGACTTGCCCAAGATCACCCTGTGGGTTTCCATGGAGTTCTAGTCCAGAGCTCAAATCATTAAACTGCAGAACTAATATGTGTAAATCTTATTTGTCTTTTTAAATTGATGTTTTTTAACTGAGGTTGTTTGTTAAAGATTGTTGTCCCCCACCGCAATCCATGGGGAGAAGCAAATAAAGTATTTATTATTATTATTATTATTATTATTATTATTATTATTATTTCTTACCCACCTCACCCCATGGATCAACTCAGGGGACTACAACCATTAACAAACATACATTAATTAAAACACATCAGTTAAAACACACATCAATTTAAAAACTGCAAATAAGATGTACACATATTAAAACAACCCACACCTAAAACTCATCAGATATAATATATAGCAAGAGAGCCAGGGTGAGATGGTTTGGTTTGAGCGCTGGACTCAGGCTCTGCAGTCCAGGGTTCGAATCCCCACTGGGGTATGGAGTCACACACTCTCAGCCTCATGGGGAAGACAAAGCAACCCTTCTCTGAGGAAAATTGTCACGAAAACCCCCTCAGAGGGTCGTCATGAGTGAGACAGGCCTTGAAGGCGCACCACAACCCCTAAAGTCACACTCTCTCAGCCTCAGGGGAAGACAAAGCAACCCTTCTCTGAGGAAACTTGCCACGAAGGTTCTCCTCAGAAGGGCCCCCTGAGTGGGAAAGGCCCTGAGGGGACCCATAACCGCCATAACTGAGGTAAAAGGGGGAAATTTGGGGGGTCTCTGACCTTGGCGGTGACCTTGGGCCCCTTCTTGCGCTCCTCGGCGTGAGTGGCGGGGAAGAAGAGGAGGAGGAGGGAGCCGCCCAGGCCCAGGAGGGCCGCCGCCGCCAGCAGCTTCATCTTCTTTCGCTCGCAGCCCCAGCAACGCCAACCCGGCCACAGACCTCGCCGCGCCGCCAGCATCCGCCCCCTTCCTGTCCTATATTGACTCCCCCCCTTTCCGTCAGCAATGGTACAGTCCCAAGGCGGGCGGAGCCGACGCTTCAGCGGCAGGGATTGGCGCGTTCCATCTCAAAAGGGGGGGGAGGAGGACGGCGAAGAGCCCAAGCGGCTGAGGCAGCGTCTCCTGCGACAAAGGAATGCCACGTTTCCAGGCTCGTATAGGTTGAACTGCTCAGCCAATGAGGAGGCGGCACCGAGGGCGGCGGCGCGCTCATTGGGCCAAGTGGCAACAAAGGAGAAGCAGCGAGAGGGCGTGGCTTTCCCGGTCGACTACATTACCCAGGGAGCAGCGCGGGAAGGCTTGACATACCTTTTTGCTTGACATTTCCTCCTTCACCTTTAGAGGGCAGTGTAGCGTTGGACTCTGAATCCCAGCTGGGCCATGAAAACTCATGGGCAAGTCACACTCTCTCAGCCTCAGAGGATGGTCATGGCAAACCCCCTCTGAAGAAACTTGCCAAGAAAACCTTTTGTCTTGCTAATGTTTATTTACATGTGTATGTATGTATATATATATATATATATATATATATATATATATATATATATATATATATATATGTCTGTATGTATATACGATTATTATATTATAGTATTATATTGTGTTAAGTATTACATATGTTGTGAGCCTTCAAGTATTGCATATTATATTATATATAATATATATAATAATATGCATATTATATATAATATGCATATTATATTATATATAATATATTATATAAGGTGGAGCTATTCGAAAGCTTGCACCAGATATTTTGTGCATTTTGGTTGGCCCAATAAAAGTATTGTCGTTTTGTGGATTTTGGATACTCTACTCTACTTTGCTATATGGCCAAAATGGATATATCCCTGGATATATTTTCAAGAAAACCTCACAATAGGGTAGCCATCAGTCAGATTCAACTTGAAAGCACCCAACAACAATAACTAAGCGACACCACTGGGCGAAATTGTATCTTGAGACTGCATCCACACTGGAAAAATAATCCAGTTTGACACCACATTAACTGCCCTGGCTCAATGCTATGGACTTCTGCAAATTGTAGTTTGTTGCGGCCCCAGAGCGGAACAGAGCAGAGCTAGAATATCCAGATGTTCACTAGTGTTCTCCCATCCAAGTACTATCCAAGTCCAACCCTGCTTATCTTAAAAATCAGACAGGCTCATGGTTCTATGGTGATCTACGTCAGAAACTGAGAAAGTGAAAAGGCCAGTTGGGAAGCTAAGTTCCCAATCACAGAAGTAAGGGGGGTTGCAGACTGCCAGAAATAGTGCAAATTGAGTCCACTTTTAGGGTTAGGGTTAGTGCTAGGGAATCATGGGAATTGGGGTTGTTTTTTTTTTCTGAGACATTGAGCCTTCTCTGTCAGAGAGCTCTGGTGCCACAATAAAATACAGTCCCCATGATTCCCTAACCCTAACCCTTAAAGTGGACTCAGTTTGCACTACAGGTATTTCTAGCAGTCTGCAAAGGCCTATAGTAAGTCTATAAAGGTTGAGTATCCTTTATCCAAAAATCCAAAAAAGACCACAATCAGAAACTTTCTTTCTGAGCACCGTCATCACACCACAAGTTCAATGTACACAATGTGTAAAAACTTTTGTTTCATATCAATATTATTAAAATATTAAAAAAACCCTAAGGTATCCCAATGATATTAGTGTGTATCAATTCACAGTGCAATATTGGAAAGGGTTTCTTCCCCATCTACTCCCACTTGGAGGTCTCTAGACCTGATCTCACTTACCTCTTGTACAAGGGTTTGGGCAATGTCTGGCTGATGATATGTGGGGTCAGCTCCCCTGCCTTTATGCATTAAAATGGGCATGCTACCATTCTGTTTATCAAGGGAATGAATATGTGTGCAGCATCTTCAGACAAGACATATACTGATCATATTTTCAGACCTGTTTGACAATGAAGCAGACTCCCCGGCAAAAATAAAAAGGACAGTCATGAACAGAGCAAAGTTGATGTTTATTTTACATTAAAAGGGTGCAAATTGGGGAAGGGTGTATAAGGTACACAACTTTTCTTGCAATGTCCCATTAAAACAGGCACATCATCAGAAAGACCAGTAGCAGGACCCAGTTCCTGGCAAATTGAAACCCAACTGGTGCCAGAAGAGAGCGCCTCCTGCGCATGGTAATATTGTAAGAAGCCCTTATCCTGATCGAACCGTTTCAAACGCATTTGAAATTGACATTCATGTTAAAAATACAATGTTGCATGTTCACTGCTGAAGCTCCAAGAGCAGTGCCAGGATTGTGTGAATTAAACATTGCATTACATGTTAAAAAATAAAACATTTTTAAAAAAAATCAAAAGGCATTTCAACAAGAATCAGACATGTGCACACAATACTTTAAAAAAAAAATTCACAGCTGATTTTTTTCCCCCTTTACAGTATCAAAGAGTTGCACTCATTATCCCAGTCATCCCATTTCGAAAAGCACAAAAGGCCTACATTAAAGAAACAGACATAATAAATTATACACCACAAGGTTTCCAATGGGAACAAGCCACTTAAGTGTGATTTCCCTTTTTTGGGGGGTGG